TAAAAGACATCATATGCCTACCGGTATATTAATTTTCCCTTTTTTTTTTTTTTAGTTGGTGAATCCCTATTTCCCTCCAGACATGAGACCTTTTCCAGAACCTGTTCCGAAAGATGTGATTGAAAGCCAAGCAGTAGACAATGATTATAAGCTTTCCAAGTTAACAAGAGGGCATCTCAATCCTAGTATGCACCAGATGGGGGAAGAAGACAGAATTGCCACCTTCACTCTGACAAACATTGTCCCCCAGGAGAAAGGATCCAATTCAGGCCTGTGGAATGATTGGGAGAAAAAAGTGTTGCAGAGAAAGAACTACTGCATAGGTCCAATGTACGTTATAACTGGTGTCATTCCTTACATGTCCCCCTCACACTGGATCAATAACAGAGTGGCTGTTCCTGAATACATTTGGTCTGCTTACTGCTGCCCCGAATATTCAAAGCCCCTTCCTGACCATCTGGAAATGTTTTTTCCTACATATGGTGCAGTGGGAAGAAATTATCGCAACAGCGGGGGGGAGATTGTACCTACAGCTAAGACAGGGGAAAATAAAGGTTATGAAGTGAGTGAGATGCCATTGGAGACCTTGGAGGGTATCCTGAGCAATAGGCTGAACCAGAACAGAACTGTCAATCTGTTTGATTCAAAATGTTTGAATGCTAAAAAACCCATAGAAAACTAGTGCAGCTAATAGGGCACACTATAATTATAACAAAAGCTTCAGCAACCTCATCCTTAACGTAATCATGATTTTAACAAAGTACTCAGAATAAAAACTTGTAAAACACATCAGCAATACAAAAAACTAAAGATGAACCTCTCTCCAATCTTACAATCTCTCCTATGGTCCTCAACTAAATGTTATTTGAGAACATGACAGATATACATTCTGTTCTGTTCACTCTGCCTCCTCTGAATTCAAGAATTCTACCTTAAAAGTTTTAAAAATTATAAAAACTGTATACTTAAACACTTTCCTCTGATATCACGGGTACCTCGCCAAATGTAACCGTTATCTTCAGGAAAATATATAGAGGTTTTTAGTGTTTTATCTTAGGAATCTGGTTGTTATTTAGGCAGAGGCCAATGTTGCCATTTGTACATTTTCTTTGCTCCCCCTTCCATTTTTGCAGTATGCTGTACCTCTTGAGTTATTCCTTTACATGTTGACATTTGTTAAACTTGGATTTGTATTATCCATTATCTTAAAATACGCTTGGCAAAAATAAATGAATACATAAAAAAAAATCATGCATGAAACAGAACTGGTGTTTTGAAATCATTTAATATTGACACAGCTTAAAAAACTGCAGCTGTTGGTTCCATGATTCCATGAGGAAAAAAGCTAGCAGTTAGCGTGCAATATGCAAAGCTTTTCAGATTGTAGACCTGGTGTTCTGTCAGATGAGCATACCCGGTCAGACCAGCATACCACTAGTCAATCCCCGTTTATCCCTTTAGTTTAGTACAAAAGATACACTTTAAACCGGTGTGTATCCCTTTAGACATGAACAAAAAAAATATTAAATTACTTACTTTCTGGTGTTTTTGGAAATGTATGGCGATCCCACCTTAAACTGTTGTTTTTTTGTACATGACTAGAGGGATGCACGCCCGTTGAGGTAGTTTAATCACTACTTTTGTAGAAAAAAAAAAGGGATAAACGCAAATCTAACATCTTGCGTGTACGTATTGACTATGGGTATACTGGTCTGATGAGGTATGCTCATCTGACAGAACACTGGCCTGGTTTTTCCTCCACTAGAAAAGCCATTGGCTGACTACAGACTACAGACCTGAAGACCAAAAGCAACCTAATCATATGACCATGGATGAGATTTTGATATCAGAAGTGCAGAGGATGCAAGCATGGGCGTAGGTTTGCATAGGGACCATAGGGACATGTCCCTA